GCTGGGGTCTAATCAGAGGTCACACCTCATTTAAGAGAAAACTGGCATGACAAGAGTCGGTCCCTGCGGGGATATAAATTTTCATTAGCCTCAAGGTTGAGGGAGAAGGAAAAATTCACACACAATGACTTCAGTGAAGGTCTTCCAACCAAATTCTCAATGACTAGTCAAAAAGGCATGCTCTCTCTGACTAATACATGAAAACTCTCTGAAAAACACAAATGCTATAATAATAGAGAGAGAGAGAAAAAAAAGAGATACATCCAATAACCCCACTTTAAGTTATAGAATAAACTGACCTCACAGTGCACTACTCCCACGGCAGAATATTCACTACAAATCAAACTTTTCTACTAGACACACTTTTAAGAAAGATGATCCACTTTAAGATGGAAAAAGTTTTTGGAAAATGAATCATTGCACATAAAATCAAAATGGTCAATGACGAAACTTTCAATGGCAAAAAAAAAGCTTTTGTGACAGAACTCTTTCCTTTTGGGGAGATCTGAATCTGAAGGAATATTCCCACAAACATTCACAGGGGGCATTCATACAACAGGATGGCAGAAACAGACGAACGGTCACCTGGTAAGTGTGTCATTCTGTTCAGTTCATTGTGAAAGCTCAACTCCCTCTCATCCCTACGGGTCACAACCAAGTCATCCAGCAGTCACCATTAAAGCAATAAATGCTCTTCATGAGTAACACAGACATAAACCACAAACTAGTGAGTAAGCACTTTTCATCATCTGTTAAAGGTCACATAAGAAACAACAAAGCCTTTTTCCCAAACTCATGAAGAGTGTGACCTGGAATAACAATTGTAATATCAGATGTATTAGTATATACTAAACCAAGACAACACACAGCCATAGACAACTGATGGAATGAAATTAAACTATTTATTTGAAATAAATATCTTTAAGTTATCAGCATCTTCTATCCCTTTTAAATACTTTTGTGCATCTTTGATGAAGACACGTATTCAAGGTAAATTACAGAAGCTATAAATGTCAAATTCTGTGATTTAAAAAAAAATGCATTATGTCATACAATTCACATCACACGTCCTGAACAGCAACACATGCTTTAAATTATTAGTACTGGAGTATTTTTTCTAGTTTAAAGTAAAAAAAGCCCTACTCCGGTCAGTTCATTTTCACTCTTTTTTTCCCCTCATCTAGACACTTTACAGAGACTTTGTTCTGCCTGGCACTTAGTGCTTTATCTCTCTCTTCTCTGCTTCTCCTTATCTGGGCTTTGTTAGTAGGGCTCTGCTCGCTGCATCCACACTGGGGCTTGTGCAGGAACAGTAATTAAACCCAAATGTGCCGCAGGCTTCCTGGATCACATCCTGAAAAGGTTTTCCATCTCTTTTAGAGATTCTGTCTTATTTCATTCTCAAGAAAAGTAAAAATCCTTTAGGACCAAAGGAGGACAACACTCACAAAAACAGAAAATAGAGAAAAACATTGTGTCTAAAGCATGCACTTGCTTTTCAATGCAGTGAATTAAGTTCTTCAATTCTAGGCAAACACATTAGATGACAAACCATTCATGTTTGCTACACTGTTTGCCACGCTGTCTTCTGTATACAGTGTAAAAGCTGAAATTGAAACGGTGTCTATTTTTATGCAGCATGTTTTATGAACTCCAGATCTGGACAGACACACCCACCAGCTGAACTCATGTGTCGCAAACCAACAAGCCGCTAGGCTGTAAGGCCTTGTTCTCACAATCCCACTCGTAACACTTGTGCCAGATGTAGGCCTGTCACAATAATCAATATATCGACTTATCGCGCAATATATGTACATGACCTCAATAATTTTTGGTGACGCAATATATCGCCCATTATATTTACTTAAAAATTCATGTCACCATGTTTTGTACATTCCACTTGTGCCGGTGTCTTTTGCAGCTTCTCGTACATAATGTGGTGTAGTTGGTGCTAGTTCAAAAGTTTCATCCGCAGATATGGCCTTGTTTAGGGATCTGTGCCTTTGTGCATGCGGACATCTGACTGCTAAGTAGTGATTGTGTTTTTCAGCAATAGTGTGCACCCTTCATTTACAGAGAAAAGAAGGACAGGGAAAAATCTGTAGATGGAAAAATCTCCATACAAGTTCTTTGTGCATTTTTCTTTTTTTTTCTACTTTGCACTTTTTGTTAGAAAATGTTTATTTACTATTTATTCAGGTTTTTTAAGGTATCTAATATTTTGATACTTAATTTCCATGATCTAAATATTCTTAAAAATTAAAAGTTTGTTGTCATTTGGAAGTGTGTTGGCCTTCTTGCATTATTATGCTGTTACATTATGATTATATATTCAGTGGCATAAAATGGTCTTTAAAATGACAATAATATCGCTTATCACAATTATTTCTGGGGCAATATATCGCACAGCAAAAAGTTGTTATCGTGACAGGCCTAGCCAGAGGGGAGAGAAAAGTCATCAGAGACTTATATCTTTCATATGCAAATGTGGAATCTGATGGGGGACACCTTGAAACAATGACACCAATAAGAAACAGATGCTTAGTAATGGAAGCGCTTGATAACAAATAGAAAACATAAGCACCAGAAACAGCAAGTCTTCACATTGGGTGAAGGTATAGTTCCCCCAAAAATGAAATCTGTCATCATTTACTCACCCACATCTTTTGACTTTCATTTGTCTTCGAAAAACTACCAAGAGATTTGTTCCTTCATTTAAAGGCCATGCAACCAAAACATTGATGCATTAAAACTAAAAGGTCAATCATGCTTGTTTGATGCATGAACCAGCGAGTTTTAAGGATGAGCTTCCAATGATGAATGTTTAGCCTATATGTGAATAAATAAGTCTACATTAAATCTATCCATCATGTAAAGTGATTAAAGAGAAGACTTGGATTAAGCCACAGTTTCAAAGATGAATAAAAGTCTTGAGACTGGAATGGCATGAAGGTGAGTAAATGATGACATTTCTTTTTGGGTGAACGCTCCTTATAATCTTGGGAGTAATGTACTGTAGAAAGCTAATGAGAGAGAGAGCTAGAGAGCAGAAGGCGGAGAAAATCTATTGTGTCCATGTCCAAGATTTACATAAATGTTTCTTTATTTGGTGCTTTAAAGCTTCACTGTTCTTCTCAGATTGGCTCAATGCACAGTTTTTAGTCATGACTTTGGAATACGGTTTCTGAGCCAGTGTTACACTCAGAACTAATACGGTCACAAAAAAACAGGCCTTTTCAGTACGAGTGTAAGAATAGCCATTGCTTGGGCTACATTCAACCTTAAAACAGCAACTTCAAATTTTGATCTCATAAACAGCCTGACACCCTGTCTATCGGAGTGGGGAGAGAGTAGATGGGGTTATATGGAAAAATCTCACGGAGAAATCTCAGTGTTGATCCAGTGCTAAAACAATGCATCAGATCTGTTGACCTCACTCAATGATACAGCTCCAACATTCTTTCCTATGAGGAGGTTCTGCTTTTCTCATTACCTTATGCTGGATTCTGTGTGATTTGATCACTACTCAACCTGGAGTGAGCTTAGGAAGAAGATGTTCTCATGGGCCCCTGCTTCTCAAAGCACATAGCTTCAGCGAACCTCGATTTCAAAAGAAATTACTGTGTATAAAGTGGGGTTCAAAGGTCTTCGTTGACAATGGAAAAATCTGTCATTTTAAATCTAGCTTGAACCTGGAAATAGACATGTACGATATGTATTGTCTACAATAATATCATAATTGTTGTTTTGATGACGTGCGAGATGACATCGTTCATCACTTATGAAAAACTTTTTATTAGTTTATGCTTTCACTGTCTGATTTAGCATATTAGAATGCCACCAAAAATAGTTCCAAACAAAGCCAGAGCAGAACCATTATGCATCTCTGAGCAAAACAAAAACAAACAACAACAAAAGACTGTTTGAGTGAATGATTCAACGACTGGCTCGATAAGACAGGGACTTGCCGCCACCTGCAAGTGTATTTCAAAATAATCATATATCATTTATATATTATTTCATAAGCTATGACTATAACTTTCATTAAACTTTAAAAAATTTATCAAACAGTCTGTCAAGGTTATTTTATAAGGTTAGAAAAAAATGACTAGCCTATACAAAGTTAATGCCCCTAAAGTAAGAAAATCTACCTAATATGACCCTCAATGAACATATTCATTTGTTTGTTTGTTTGTGTTTAATGCCATGCCAGCTTCTATGGCTATTTTCATGGAGAACAATTTTATAACAGAATTATATTAGGTTTTTTACTTTTACTTTTTTTTTAGGCATTTATTTTCGCTAAAAACTCTAAAACTGTATCTGGCTTAGCTGCTAAAAAATCTCTTCAAAAGGGTTAACTGAATTAAAGTTCTCACAGGATAAAAACCAGCACAATCTAATAAAACATGCTTCAGAGAAGGGCTTTTGAAAATATTCATTTCTGTCACAACTTTGAACTGACCACAGCACAGAAGAATATGAAAAGCTGTCGAGGCCTAAACCAGCCAGGATATCAGTACAAAAACACGCTTGGCTAAATGCTGTCTAATTATCGTTATCAATAAAATCCCCCAAAAATGTCAATATCACACACCCCTATCTGGAAATAAAGAGGTTTTATGATTTTTGAAAATTGTCAAAATTAAAATGAAACTTATAAAACTCTGCTTAAAATTCTGCTCTAAATTAAAGAACAAAATCATGTGAACTCCTTTGTTTTCTGTTTGTACACACAGATAATCTATAGAAAGTAGTGCTAAAAATTCCCTTTTTTTACTCAAATTGCTATGCTGATAACATAATTTGCAATCAAGAACTGTATTTAACTAGAAAAATTGGTGAAAATAGTCACACTTTTTCTCAGGTTTATAAACCCTACTGAATATAAAACATCAGCAGACACTCCAAATGCACGTCACAGTGTAAATATCAGATCCAGATCATGCAGGCATCTAGCCAGACAGCAATTTAGCAATGAAAGAGCACATGTGACTTACTCTCTAGTGGCCTTGGGGGGGCTTCATGTACTGATGGAGGGGTTTTGTATTCATTGAAGGTAGGAGTGATGCTGGCTGCGGAGGTGAAGCTGTTCTCTGACTCCCTTGCAGGAGACGGTGTGTCCAGCTGTCTGTTAATGTGCATCTCAGCCCGTCTAGTCGGAGCTGAGATCTCAAGAGGGCTGGGAGGCTCTGCTCGCCTCTGGGACAGCTCAGGGATCCGGGAAGAGGATATTGGTGGGTCGGCTCTCCTAGGGGGTGTTGGAGGTTCCTGGGGTCTGCTGTGGTTACCCTCAGCCCTTCTGTGAAGAGACCCATCTGTGGCTTTACTCTGGAGCGAGACCTCAGGTCTCTTTAAGCCGAAGCGGGCGATACCAGGACTGGGTGAGCTGTCCACCTGCTTGGAGGAGATGTCGATGGAGATCTCTGTCCTGCGCGACACAGTCTCTGGGACGCGGCCCCCCGATAACTCCACGCGCCTCAGGTTGGACTTTGGAGAGCACTGGTTGGAGGAGGAATCTGAAGCGTGCCTCGAGGTGGACTCGGAGTTGAGCGATCTCATGTCATGGAAACGGCTGCTCGTAGAAGAGGTGGAGGAGCGCAGAGGATTGGTTGTTCTACGGGAAAGAGGGGACGGGTTTGTGGATGTATCCTCCTCCACTTCAAATGACCTCTTAAGTGCTGTAAACAAATATAAATAAAAACACGTGCATAAAAATCAGGCAACTTTCAAAGCTTTAAACAGGCATACTTCTAGAAATGGATACCTACATACATTAATTAATACTTAAACGTAACTACAAAGACTTAGTTTCGTTAGAATTTGCTAACTGAACCTAAAACAAACCAATTTTATAACAGAAAATGATTTCCAAAATTAGGCCACCTAAGCGTGCAAGAACAATAGGAGTTAAATAATTAAACAAATATAAGCCTTTATACATATAAAATAAGACAGACTGATAGAATCAACAAAAGATTAACGGAATTTGTTTCAGTTTGAAGATGTTTAACCTTTTCTACCGGATTCAAAATGTTAATAACGTTCGCATGGTCTCTCCATAACGTGTAAAGACGCTACTAAAGTGTCTTTCGCGTCGGTGTGGATATAAACACATAAACAGTAGTTGTCTGTTTGAAATAAGAAGTTTTTGGTTTTATATATTTTTTGAAATACCTGATTTCACGCGTTTCAAATGTTTAGTAAACATAGCTGCAGCTTGAGAGCTCTCACGCTTGAACACCGCCATCACCTCTCCTGACTCAAGCGCAATGGGATTTAGACGTGTCCGGTTCGTTCATTTGAGTCGAATCTTTTTAATGAATCGGTTGAAATGGTTCACAAACTATTGTTTCATTATTGAATCGGTCCGAACGGGAGCAAAAACTTCACCGATTCATTAAACCGGAACTGTCTCTTTTGAACATGACTGACTGCAGTGATGGTGCTTTAGTTCGTGTGCTGGCTCATCAAACCGAGAACGGCCTCTTTCTAACGTGTTGAACTGAACAAAGAACGAGCTGAAAGAGATTTGGACTGAACTGGAACTATTTGACTGATTGAAGTAAGTTACTTTAAACTAATAACTTTTAGCATTTTTGTCCTGAGCCCTGGTTAATTTCTGACCCTAGTACAGTGAGAGATAAATTGCTGGCACTGCATCAAGACAAAAAAAGTTTTCACCCATAGCTAGGAGTGCAAACATTGATGAGGTTCTGAAACTGGAGCTGGACAGCCTTAAGATTAGATTTTTCAATTAGCCTATCTGCAATGTGGCGCTTGACAGAAAGAGACACACAATGGCATGCTTGGTCGCTCAGGACATTTGTCTATACTAATCCCCAGGAAATTTCTAGACACTTGAGTCATGCACAGACACCGCAGTCATATTAATGGCCAACAGCAGCACTACGCCTTTAAGTTCTGAGCAGGTGGTTGCTATTCCATCCAGTTGGTCTGTCCAAACATTAAACCACATATCCCTCTCTCTCCTTTGTAGAACGGCATGGCCCCTTGGCACTGCTGTTTGTTAAAAACATCCCATCAGTTTTTAATCTATAGTGCTGGCAAAATATTGGACGTGTGTAAGTTAAGTATTTTCCAAGTGGCTTGGAAGCTCAGAGACTATTTCACTGAAACAGCAGTTTGGCCAAGTAAGATTTGGCATAGGTGCCCATGGCACATTAGCAAAATAAACAGTATAATCTACTTACTGGAACCTTTTGTTGGCATCTCTCTGAAACTACCCTGAAATCATATTTTAGCAAATTTTCTTTCTGTGGAGCCAATAAATGCTGGATGGATGCAAAGGGCCTTTGCAAATCTTGCCTTTTCGTCATACAAACTTCAAGGCATCCAGTTCACAGCTGGATCTTAGTTCAGTGTGGAAGAGGATCAGTGTTTGAAGTTCTATTGGCAGAAATAAACATGAGAAATAAATGATTGCTGCGATCAGATATGCATCCAGCTGTGGGTCAAAACAGGAAAATTAAGAGTCTGTAGGCTAAAGGTGACTATTTCTATTCTTAAGCTAATTAAAACGTTTCATGTTCATGAAATAAAACAATATATAAATGAAATACTTAAAATTAAGCTTGAAAAAGATAAATTAAAATGATAAATGTTGCCTTGACAATTAACTGAAATACTAAAAATACTAAAATAAATGAATACTAAATAGAAATATTTAAAATAAAATGACAAAAATACTAGAACGTTAGCTATAATTTAATTAAAATGAAAACTGAAAATATATCAATAAACACTCAAAATATTAATAAATACTACAACAGTATGTAAAAACACACACAAAAAAACACTAAAATAGGGGATAACACTAAAAAAGGGATAGTTCACCCAAAAATATAACACACACACAAAAAGATAATTTGAAAAAACATCTCTGTGTTTTGAAGGTTTATTATTATTATTATTATAATTCTGTACAATGACAGGGGGACCAATATTGTTTTGGACCCTGCTGGATTTCATTTATGGACAGATGCTTCAAAATATCTGTTATTGAACTATTCATTTAAGAGCAGGTGGTAATTCAGATTTTTAAGTAGGGCAGGTCCAGTGTTTCTCAGGACGTCCACTGTCTCATATAAGCTAGGTGTCCATTATGTACCTCTACGTTTTACGTCATGCTATTCATTGACATGCTTATCATAACACAGCACACATGGATCCATTTTCTTCCAACACACAGGAAAACTGACCTCCGTTCAGCAGGAAAGGATGGAAGCCGATGGTCCTGTTTTACAGTACCCTTGCATTTGGATAAGGAAAAGAGGCCTGCCAGGCATTTGTTTCATTTTTGAGTGGTTGAGTGATGTTTTTTTTCCTTACACCACTGGTGTTATGATTGGACATGTGATACTCTCAATTCAGGCTTAGAACATACATTTATTTTGAACTGCTTTGCTTTTTCTCATGAGCCAGAGGAGAGAATCACCATTTTTCTCATGAGTCATCTTCAGAGGGGGCTTTCTTTTAAGCTGCGCCCTGATGATATAATTTCCTGTCATTTCAAAGTGTGGCTGGATTCAAATGGAATCCTGCATGCACTGAATAACTGCGCATTATGCATTCTGTGATTACACCAGACATAATCAACAAAACACACACAAAATCCCTTGGGCAGGATTATGGCTCAACGGAAACTGATTGTGAATATGTGTTAAACAGGAAGAGACATTGTCTGTCTTGTTGCTTCAGTCCAGGCAATAATATACTTGGCACTGAATGCTATATAGAAGCATACACAGATGAATCATAATAGTTTGATGTACAACAGGATAAATCTCTCAGCATTTGTCCTCAAACAACCTTTTCATTCACAGACAGGAAGTCAATGATTACAGGCAGATTTTACTGTGTAGTCCAATCGCTCTGTGCTTTTGGACTCTATAAAGCACAGTATAAAAACCATACAGTGCACTACAGCCTAAACAAGCACCTCTTACATAAGAATCTTCATCTCAGTATGGTGCCGTGTGTATTTCTGACAGAGTGAGCTGGCTAGACACATTTGATGAGAGCTTCAATGGTGTCTGACTTCAAACCTCTGTCTGTCCGTGGTTTCAAAAACTATATCGAGCATCTAAAAGATCTAGATCATAAAATGCACTGAAATGAAATAAATTTAAGAAAAGGCCTATATAATTGAACTACATTTGATTGACACGGAAGACAAGAATTTGTTGAATAAAGTCATTATTTTTGTTTTCTATGCACACAAGAAGTTTTCTCATAGCTTCATAAAATTACGGTTGAACCATTGATGTCACATGGACTATTTAACGATGTCCTTACAACCTTTCTGGGCCTTGAACATGGTAGTTGTGTTGCTGTCTATGGAGGGTCAAGAAAGCTCTCAGATTTCATAAAAAAATATCTTAATTTGTGTTCCGATGATGAACGAATGTCTTATGGGTTTGGAACTACATGAGGGTGAGTAATTAATGACAGAATTCTCATTTTTGGGTGAACTATCCCTTTAAGTAGCATTGTGTACTTATTATGCACCATTCTGTGCCATTTTGTAGTATGAATAGTGTGAGTGATGTGCTCACCCTGAAAATTCAAACTAGAAGTGCGCTTCAAATACCCAGATGATGCACTTATCCAAAAAATAATAACTGAAGGGGATGGGCTGTCAGACTCGGATGCTGGATGACAAAATAACTCAAAAATCATACACTTGATAGTACGCGACACAGTCTCTGGGACGCGGCCCCCCGATAACTCCACGCGCCTCAGGTTGGACTTTGGAGAGCACTGGTTGGAGGAGGAATCTGAAGCGTGCCTCGAGGTGGACTCGGAGTTGAGCGATCTCATGTCATGGAAACGGCTGCTCGTAGAAGAGGTGGAGGAGCGCAGAGGATTGGTTGTTCTACGGGAAAGAGGGGACGGGTTTGTGGATGTATCCTCCTCCACTTCAAATGACCTCTTAAGTGCTGTAAACAAATATAAATAAAAACACGTGCATAAAAATCAGGCAACTTTCAAAGCTTTAAACAGGCATACTTCTAGAAATGGATACCTACATACATTAATTAATACTTAAACGTAACTACAAAGACTTAGTTTCGTTAGAATTTGCTAACTGAACCTAAAACAAACCAATTTTATAACAGAAAATGATTTCCAAAATTAGGCCACCTAAGCGTGCAAGAACAATAGGAGTTAAATAATTAAACAAATATAAGCCTTTATACATATAAAATAAGACAGACTGATAGAATCAACAAAAGATTAACGGAATTTGTTTCAGTTTGAAGATGTTTAACCTTTTCTACCGGATTCAAAATGTTAATAACGTTCGCATGGTCTCTCCATAACGTGTAAAGACGCTACTAAAGTGTCTTTCGCGTCGGTGTGGATATAAACACATAAACAGTAGTTGTCTGTTTGAAATAAGAAGTTTTTGGTTTTATATATTTTTTGAAATACCTGATTTCACGCGTTTCAAATGTTTAGTAAACATAGCTGCAGCTTGAGAGCTCTCACGCTTGAACACCGCCATCACCTCTCCTGACTCAAGCGCAATGGGATTTAGACGTGTCCGGTTCGTTCATTTGAGTCGAATCTTTTTAATGAATCGGTTGAAATGGTTCACAAACTATTGTTTCATTATTGAATCGGTCCGAACGGGAGCAAAAACTTCACCGATTCATTAAACCGGAACTGTCTCTTTTGAACATGACTGACTGCAGTGATGGTGCTTTAGTTCGTGTGCTGGCTCATCAAACCGAGAACGGCCTCTTTCTAACGTGTTGAACTGAACAAAGAACGAGCTGAAAGAGATTTGGACTGAACTGGAACTATTTGACTGATTGAAGTAAGTTACTTTAAACTAATAACTTTTAGCATTTTTGTCCTGAGCCCTGGTTAATTTCTGACCCTAGTACAGTGAGAGATAAATTGCTGGCACTGCATCAAGACAAAAAAAGTTTTCACCCATAGCTAGGAGTGCAAACATTGATGAGGTTCTGAAACTGGAGCTGGACAGCCTTAAGATTAGATTTTTCAATTAGCCTATCTGCAATGTGGCGCTTGACAGAAAGAGACACACAATGGCATGCTTGGTCGCTCAGGACATTTGTCTATACTAATCCCCAGGAAATTTCTAGACACTTGAGTCATGCACAGACACCGCAGTCATATTAATGGCCAACAGCAGCACTACGCCTTTAAGTTCTGAGCAGGTGGTTGCTATTCCATCCAGTTGGTCTGTCCAAACATTAAACCACATATCCCTCTCTCTCCTTTGTAGAACGGCATGGCCCCTTGGCACTGCTGTTTGTTAAAAACATCCCATCAGTTTTTAATCTATAGTGCTGGCAAAATATTGGACGTGTGTAAGTTAAGTATTTTCCAAGTGGCTTGGAAGCTCAGAGACTATTTCACTGAAACAGCAGTTTGGCCAAGTAAGATTTGGCATAGGTGCCCATGGCACATTAGCAAAATAAACAGTATAATCTACTTACTGGAACCTTTTGTTGGCATCTCTCTGAAACTACCCTGAAATCATATTTTAGCAAATTTTCTTTCTGTGGAGCCAATAAATGCTGGATGGATGCAAAGGGCCTTTGCAAATCTTGCCTTTTCGTCATACAAACTTCAAGGCATCCAGTTCACAGCTGGATCTTAGTTCAGTGTGGAAGAGGATCAGTGTTTGAAGTTCTATTGGCAGAAATAAACATGAGAAATAAATGATTGCTGCGATCAGATATGCATCCAGCTGTGGGTCAAAACAGGAAAATTAAGAGTCTGTAGGCTAAAGGTGACTATTTCTATTCTTAAGCTAATTAAAACGTTTCATGTTCATGAAATAAAACAATATATAAATGAAATACTTAAAATTAAGCTTGAAAAAGATAAATTAAAATGATAAATGTTGCCTTGACAATTAACTGAAATACTAAAAATACTAAAATAAATGAATACTAAATAGAAATATTTAAAATAAAATGACAAAAATACTAGAACGTTAGCTATAATTTAATTAAAATGAAAACTGAAAATATATCAATAAACACTCAAAATATTAATAAATACTACAACAGTATGTAAAAACACACACAAAAAAACACTAAAATAGGGGATAACACTAAAAAAGGGATAGTTCACCCAAAAATATAACACACACACAAAAAGATAATTTGAAAAAACATCTCTGTGTTTTGAAGGTTTATTATTATTATTATTATAATTCTGTACAATGACAGGGGGACCAATATTGTTTTGGACCCTGCTGGATTTCATTTATGGACAGATGCTTCAAAATATCTGTTATTGAACTATTCATTTAAGAGCAGGTGGTAATTCAGATTTTTAAGTAGGGCAGGTCCAGTGTTTCTCAGGACGTCCACTGTCTCATATAAGCTAGGTGTCCATTATGTACCTCTACGTTTTACGTCATGCTATTCATTGACATGCTTATCATAACACAGCACACATGGATCCATTTTCTTCCAACACACAGGAAAACTGACCTCCGTTCAGCAGGAAAGGATGGAAGCCGATGGTCCTGTTTTACAGTACCCTTGCATTTGGATAAGGAAAAGAGGCCTGCCAGGCATTTGTTTCATTTTTGAGTGGTTGAGTGATGTTTTTTTTCCTTACACCACTGGTGTTATGATTGGACATGTGATACTCTCAATTCAGGCTTAGAACATACATTTATTTTGAACTGCTTTGCTTTTTCTCATGAGCCAGAGGAGAGAATCACCATTTTTCTCATGAGTCATCTTCAGAGGGGGCTTTCTTTTAAGCTGCGCCCTGATGATATAATTTCCTGTCATTTCAAAGTGTGGCTGGATTCAAATGGAATCCTGCATGCACTGAATAACTGCGCATTATGCATTCTGTGATTACACCAGACATAATCAACAAAACACACACAAAATCCCTTGGGCAGGATTATGGCTCAACGGAAACTGATTGTGAATATGTGTTAAACAGGAAGAGACATTGTCTGTCTTGTTGCTTCAGTCCAGGCAATAATATACTTGGCACTGAATGCTATATAGAAGCATACACAGATGAATCATAATAGTTTGATGTACAACAGGATAAATCTCTCAGCATTTGTCCTCAAACAACCTTTTCATTCACAGACAGGAAGTCAATGATTACAGGCAGATTTTACTGTGTAGTCCAATCGCTCTGTGCTTTTGGACTCTATAAAGCACAGTATAAAAACCATACAGTGCACTACAGCCTAAACAAGCACCTCTTACATAAGAATCTTCATCTCAGTATGGTGCCGTGTGTATTTCTGACAGAGTGAGCTGGCTAGACACATTTGATGAGAGCTTCAATGGTGTCTGACTTCAAACCTCTGTCTGTCCGTGGTTTCAAAAACTATATCGAGCATCTAAAAGATCTAGATCATAAAATGCACTGAAATGAAATAAATTTAAGAAAAGGCCTATATAATTGAACTACATTTGATTGACACGGAAGACAAGAATTTGTTGAATAAAGTCATTATTTTTGTTTTCTATGCACACAAGAAGTTTTCTCATAGCTTCATAAAATTACGGTTGAACCATTGATGTCACATGGACTATTTAACGATGTCCTTACAACCTTTCTGGGCCTTGAACATGGTAGTTGTGTTGCTGTCTATGGAGGGTCAAGAAAGCTCTCAGATTTCATAAAAAAATATCTTAATTTGTGTTCCGATGATGAACGAATGTCTTATGGGTTTGGAACTACATGAGGGTGAGTAATTAATGACAGAATTCTCATTTTTGGGTGAACTATCCCTTTAAGTAGCATTGTGTACTTATTATGCACCATTCTGTGCCATTTTGTAGTATGAATAGTGTGAGTGATGTGCTCACCCTGAAAATTCAAACTAGAAGTGCGCTTCAAATACCCAGATGATGCACTTATCCAAAAAATAATAACTGAAGGGGATGGGCTGTCAGACTCGGATGCTGGATGACAAAATAACTCAAAAATCATACACTTGATAGTAGAGTACATATTTTATGTATAGTACGTCATTTGGGACACAACTTGCGTGTTCTAAGTGATGTTTACCTCATTGCTATGCAGTTGGTAAGAAGACGCTGCATATGAAATTGCATGCTGTTTGAGTAAGTATGACGTTTGAATTTGAACTTACTTCACGAACGTTAAAAAGTTTACTATGAATATGGATAGTATGAATGAAATTTGGATGTACTACATCCACCATGTTGATATGGTCATATGACCTACAGCATCAGATGTGTTGCCTCACTGCATTTATAAATTCTCCCCCATGTGTTCATCAAATGTGTATATAAAAATGTCACCGGAAGTAGTAGGTCATACTGTTTTCAAATATTATGAATACAGACATTCACATTCACATACTGTTTTTCGCACACTAGCCTATAAAAGTGTTCGATTTCGGATGCATTAGTTCTGTTCTGGGTTGTTGCAAGGTAGTTGTTTACTATAAGTCTCAGTCATTGTTAATCTAGTCCTCTCAGTGTAAATCTATGGGATATATTGTCCATTTTAATATTTTGTTTGTGTCTTGAGTTGTGCACCAAAGTATGAGCAATTTCGAAAGTGATGCTTCCCTGACCAAGCTCCACTAACTAAAATAAAAGTGGGTAGTTTGATAGCTATTTGGTCCAGAAATTATCATAACAGTTCAACTATAATCTCAGACAAGAGCAATCTGTCGTAATTATCACAGTCACATCTGCCCAGCCAGAAGATTCAGAGGTGTTTGAGGTATGTGCCGGCAAAAACAACAGGATACAAACAGAGAGTGTGATTATGCTGTAATGATATGTTTGGCCTTGCTGATCTGCGAGAGTTTGGGAGCTGTGTGACGGAGCCTCAGGCTGTGGTGGGAAATGGGCCGCACGAAAACACATAAGAGCCCTCTCTCTCTCTCTCTCCCACAGTACACACAGCTGCAGCTTTGAGTAAACACGTACAAACT